TATATGTACAAGTTAATAATCAATACATTTCTGTAAGGCTAAAATTTTCAGAACAAGATTGATAAAAGAAAGAAAGAAACTCCAATAGTTGAAAGAAAATTCCAATAGTTAAGAAATGAAATTCAGTATATACAAACATTTCCAATCAAATCACTGGGAAAAAAAAAAAAAAAAAAAAAAAAAAAAAAAAAAAAAAAAAAAAAAATATATATATATATATATATATATATATTTATATATATATATATTATATATATATATATAAGCATATAAAAAAATGACTTATTGTAAATGCAGAGTTTTGCCTTTACTCTGCTGCCTAACATTTTCAAATCTTACCCATCTCTCTCATATCCATACCCTGCTATCCATCACTGACATACTTTACTCCCATCCCACTTAATCTGCTATCCATTCTCCTCACTACTAAATAGCCAGCCCTTACTCTACAACCCATTCCTCTTAGAGCCATATTATGCCACTATGCCACTCCTCTTCCTTGCTGTCTTCTGCAATCCATTTTCCTCAAAGCCAATATCGCTATATTGCAGTCTATGGCCCTAAGTGAAGCACTGGAATAACAAAACCTTTACCTTCTGGTCAGGCTGTGACCGAGTCATTTGGCGGGGCACAAACACAGCTTTCTCCTGCTGGAAACCCTTCAGCACTGGGTCACCTGAGGTATCCACTGGTGGTGCCTTCTCCTCCTGCACTTTGATGATGGTGGGAGGGACCTTACGCACTTCCTTGAACGTAGCTGTGGATGTGTTCGTTGCTGTCATCTGAACAGGGACTTTAGCAGTGCCCTCTTGACTGATGGCCGATTTGATGGATAGTCGTGGGTTGTGACACTTCCTCATTCTATTAGAATAGAGTTGGTCTAAATGACTTTCTTATGGTGAGCACAAAAAATAAAAATGTACATACTTATTCATTCATTATGAAGACTTATTTACTCAATTCAAATGAGATTATAAAAAAATATATTAATAATAAAATCTACTTAAAACTTACATGCAAGGCTTTTTCTTGGTTCCTGGTCCACCGTATTTCTTCATGTCTAGGCAGTTGACACACTTTCGGCAATTGGGTGTTGTACATCCTAGACACTTGTTACACCACTGTGTTTTGCGAAGCACCTGCGTGAGAAGTTGTCTTTGAAATCCAATAGAAATTTACCAAAACAATGGCAAACTACCATCAAATCAATGAATACTATTAATTTTCCATAATGAAATTGGAATTATTACCTTGCCACTAGCTGTTGTTGTTACAGTAACAATTTTGCGCTTCTTGTCAGATTTGCTAGAGGGAACAATGACCTTTATTGGCACTTTATCTTCATCCTTCCCTGGAGATGGGAATACTGCACGAGGGATACCCAACACCTGAAATTGGCAAAAATGTCAATAAACCTTTAACATAGCTGGTTCCATCTTATGAATTAAATAATTGAAAAAATTCTTTTCGGTCTCATTGAATTCAAAAAGTTACAACTTGGATAATCAATCAATATTCAAATGACTTTCTCAACTTACAATACTGTCACTGGCTGAAGAGAAATAATAATAATAGTGAAAATTAGTATTTTCCAGCTTTTGATTCACATTCTATATTTTGTTCTGGTTTTCATGGTCATTTTTTAAATATTCACTATCATCTGAATTTTCCCTCATCTCTTCATTCATCACATCTTTAAGTCCTGTTAATCACGATTGTGGCTTGCTGAATTCACCACAGCAGTGACATCATCTTGCTTAAACTATTAAAAATTGCCATGGGGTTTTCACACATTTTTGTTGTGAATGAGATATATGTGGTCCCATCCCTTAACTCATAGCCTACAAATGATAAGGGGTTCACATCATGGCTGATTTGGTTGTGGTTCTGGGCAACAGATTATTCACATCACAACTGACTAGGGTGCAGCTCCAGCCAACAGATCATTCAAGTCATGTTACTATGACTTGAATGACCTGCTGTTCTTTAAATGAAGCCCTCATGCCTACACCACATGCTCTGAGGCATTGCCTGACAGAGAACGGGATGTGCTAAGATTGGCTATTTTGTATAGAGAGAGAATTTTAGCTAATAAATCATTCACCTGCTGTGTGAGGAAGATGCCACACACCAAAACATGGCTCTTTCTTGTTGTTGATATAAACCTGTAACCTTTACTCTTGTTTACAAGATCTGTCTCCTAATGTCAACTACTCACATTGTCTTTTGGCACTCTACCAGTGTGACTGTTGAAATATGATACAAAATAAGAGAAGTACTGAAGCCATGGGGCAGCAACCTTGTACATCACTGCATAAAATATTATTTTGTATAAATAACATTTGCAAAAATTAGTGATTCTTGCTATTCTTTATCCTCTACTAAAATCAAATTCTATCTTGTAGTGTAACATACCCAGTTTATTGAAATGGACTCTAATATACATAATTAGGCTTCTACAAGTTCAATTCAGCACCTAAAATGCATATCATGCATCTCTAAATACACAAAAACATCAATTTGCATTCAAGTGATAAATGACAAAAGTGAGTTTCCCTGTTTGATATAGCACAGGCAAATCTTGTAGTGAGAGTTAAATATTCCTTTGTTAACCTATTCCCGCCGGGTGGCATGTACGTACATGCCATGGCATGCCGAGGCCATATGCTGGGTGGCATGTACATACATGCCATAATTCGCCACTCCCGTTTTCCGGTGGCATGTATGGCCATGCCATGATCTTTTCTTTTGCAAATACGGTAAAATATTCTTTTTTTGATACTGAAACATTGATGGATTAGTTTTTTTTATAAATACCATCATTTTCTTACATAAGAAGTACTCTGGCTTCAGAGGTAAGCGTCTGAAAACTTACGTTGACAATCGGCCCGCGACACGCGAAACAGGTCAGTCGCGGTGTGATTCAGCACCCGCGAGCACGTGTATGCATTGCTATTCGCGTGCGTATATGTGTGTGCGTGGGCATGCGCACGCGCATCTGTACATGATTCAGCGTGTGTATGCAGCAATAGTATTTGTGTGCGCATATATGTATGCGGGTGCACGCTCGCACGTGAGTGATTCAGCGTGTGTATGCAGCAATAGTATTCGCGTGCATATGCACGCTCGCACGCTCACGTGTGTGATTCAACGTGCGTGTATGCAGCAATAGTATTCACGTGCGTATGTATGTGTGCATGTGCGCGCTCTCGCGTGTGTTTGTGCATGTGCGTGCTCGCGCGCGTGTGTATAATTCAGCATGTGTATGCAGCAATAGAATTCACGTGCGTATGTGTGCATGTGCACGTTCACTCGTGTGTTTCTGTGTGTGCGTGCTCACACGCGTGTGTATGCAGCAATAGTATTCACGTGCGTATGTATGTGTGTGTGATTCAGCATGTGTATGAAGCAGTACTATTTGCTTGCATGTGTGCGTGCGTGTGTGTGCGAGCGTTCGCTCGCGTGTGTGTTTGTGTTTGCGTGTGTGTGCGAGCGTTCGCTCGCGTGTGTGTTTGTGTTTGCGTGTTTGTGTTTGCGTGTGTGTGTTTGCGTGTGTGTGTGTGTGTGTGTGTGTGTGTGTGTGTGTGTGTGTGTGTGTGTGTGTGTGTGTGTGTGTGTGTGTATGTGTGTGTGTGTGTGTGTGTGTGTAAAAAATAAAAAAAACAGCAATGAGACTAATATCAAAGCAATGGATAGCAAATAGAAAATAAAGAAATATAGAAAAGAAAAGAGAAAATCACCGCAAACGAGGCTAATGGTAGTTGAACGAGGGAACGGGGCCTCGGAACACGCGCACTTCGTCCGCTGCCGCTGCTGCCTCTCCTGATGACCCTCAGCCTTCCACCTCGGCTGGCCCCTTGAGCTTTTTCGACGACTCGTTGGATGATGAATCCGGCGAGAGGTTCATGCCAAGGGGTCGGGTTCTCATCGAGGGCAGCAGCGACAGCGGCGATGATTCAGATCTAGACTACGTGTCCCACGACACGACTCTAGATGAGGATGAGCCGCTGTCTGCTTATGCTCAGCGGTAGCGGGAGTGGAATTCTCCATGACAGCCTGGGTTCCGGTAGAGGAAGAAGGAGAATGTTCCCACTAGGTATGGTTTCAGGGCCCAGCCTGGGATCAACACCCCCAGGGTGGACTCTGACTCCAGCCTGCTGGAACTTTTCTCCTTGTTCTTCACCGAAGAACTCATGGATATGATCGTCCGTGAGACAAACCGGTAAGTTCACGTAATTTTTTGTTTCATTTACATATTTTTGTCAAATTGAATAAATAATATATATATATTATGTGAATATATAATGATTAGATTGTGTACAATGACTAATTTTTGCATTTCTATCTTTCCAGGTACCACCGTCAAAAGCCAGGGCCCAGTTCTTCTCATATGAAGGACTGGGTAGACACCTCTGTCTCGGAGCTTGGTGTCTTCATCGGCCTCAGGATGGCCATGGGGATCAACCAAAAGCCCGAGCAGAGGAGTTACTGGTCAACCGACCTGTTCTACCACAGTCCCCTGTTCCCAGCGACTATGACGCGGGATCGTTTCGATCAGCTGAGCCGCTACCTCCACGTGGTGGACAACGAGGGGAGTCATCCCCCCGATGACCGCCTGTGGAAGTTGCGGCCAGCTATCGAAATTCTCCAGCGTCAGTTCTCGTCGGTCTTTACTCCTCCCAGGAGGATTACAGTCGACGAGAGTCTCTGGAAATACCCTTTATTTGATAAAGGGTATGATCTGTATACCGATAACTGGTATACGTCGCCTACCCTTTTTCATTACCTGCAGAGCAGGCGCACGAATGCAATTGGCACAGTACATGCCACCCGAAAGTTCATACCCACTGATCTGCAGGTAAAAGCCCCCGGAGATGTGGACAGTCGCAGCACACCTACAGGCATGTTGTGCCTGCAATGGCGCGACAGGCGTGTAGTGACGTTGCTGTCGACTGTTTGAGAGGATCAAACCCCAAGTAGTCGTAGACTACAACTGTGGGATGAAGGGGGTCGATAACAGTGATCAGCTGGCTGTATCGTACCCGAGCACTCGCAAGTCCCTCAAGTGGTACAAGGTTTTGTTAAACCTTGTTGATATGACAGTCGTCAACGCCTTCTCATTGCACAAGGTGCTCGGAGGGCGATTGACTCAGCTGATCTTCAGGAAAAGGCTGTCTGAAGATCTCATGCAGCTGGGGAGTCGCGATGGTAGAGAGGTCAGGTCAGGTCGCGGTCACAGTCCTGGTCCCGCTCCCGGTCCCGCTCTCCGCGCCCTGCTCCGGCTCTTCAGGGTATCCATTGCCAGATATTGACACCTCACGGCAGATATCGTAGGAGCAGACTGTGCTACTCTCGGGGCGTGAGGAGGATGACCAAGATGATGTGTTCAGGGTGTGATGTTCCTCTCTGTCGGACTTCCTGCTTTGAGGAATATCACACTCTGAACGCATCTACATCTAGGTGATCCTCCTCACGCCACGACCTTGTACATATTGTAAATAGTTTACTTTTGTAAATAAAATACGAAATGTGAAAAAAAACCTTATATATGCTCATATACCACACTATTTCTTTACACACCAATATGAAAAGAATACTCAAGAAAATAATCTTGATATAACATAAAATATTGAAACACTGAAAAGAATGAAGAAAAGAAAGAAAAAGAAAAAAAGAAAGAAAGCTTCTTTACAGGACTTAATCCAATGATATTGAACAAATACGACTCCCAAAAATAACTTACAACAGAAATAAAAAATTAAAAAAAATATGCGTATTACGTATATGTGATAACGTACTTATAAAACTACACTGAGAAGAGAAATTGAAAGCTATATCTTGCTCATGAAGTAATACTATAGACCTCGTGTGTAAACTAGGATAGTTTATATGATAACCTAAAAAAATGAATAATGAAATTCAACAAAAAAACCTATGGTTATAAACACGATCATACATCAAACTGCTTACTTTATTCAGAGTAAAGGCGAATAATTATCAACTGTGGAGTCTATACTACGAAAAAACTGTCATACATACTTGACTTATAGGAAAACATAGCAAATATATACCTTAGAAAATAATAACAAAAATCTTGGATACAAAGAAAAGGCAAGGAATGCTGGTATTGCGCATGAGCGGTCGCGCCATAGGGATATGGCATGGGTCCCCGGCAGCAAGGCCCAGGCCGCTGCGAATACTGCCCGGGAAAGGGTCGCGCGTATCGGAAAATGACCCATCGGGATTGGGTTAAATATGTGCTCAATCCACTGATGCAAGGATAACAAAAATACATGAAAGTCCACTGTGATATTACTTTCCCAAATTTGCTTACACACAGATGGCTCCACAAGTGCTTAGTCACCAAGGAGTCCATTACTCATCTCTTTACCCTTAACATTTTAATAATCTCAATGTCAATATCAATAATGATAATATCAGTAATATCAATAGCATTAGGAAAAAATCAGAAAGCTCACACAATTGGGATATGAGATAGGCCTACTAATTAACATTTTGGTGACTAAGTTCATGTGGAACCATCTGTATAGACAAAATCATAAAACAAAACTACAGTGGACAGTGCAGTTACCCTACATAAACAAGTTAATTACTTTCTATGCATTCCATTCACATGCTTATTCTATATGCTAAAGAAAAAAATAAATATTCAATTTCTGATGTGTAAATTCAAGCTTCCTCTTGTGACATTTGAAAAACTAAGCCCTCTTCATCACAACTATATTTGATATTCAAGCCAACATAACCTGAAAACATCATTGCTATATTGTATGTGAGGCCAACAAATGAATGACAGGAAACTGAGGAATGCCCTATGAGGTCAGTTTTGAGCACCTTGTGGTAACACGGGTCTTTAATGTCAAAAAAGATACCACAAAATCACAGTATAACAGTCCAAAAATGGCATGCAAGGTATTCCAATGCAGTAAATGTTAGACCAATCAATAGTCTTATTTATTTTTTCTTCTCTATATAAAAATTTCATAATAATGCTTTCTCAATGGAGTAACTTTACATGTACTTTCTAGACTCCATATTCAAACTTAACTAAAATTTGCACTTTAGAGGAAAGAAGTAATGGTTTTTCTATTAGCCTTACCTGTGCCTGGCTACGACAGACGTGTTTGACCCTGGGTCCGCCCACCTCTGGATGGGTTCCATCCATCTCTTCGCTCTCAGATTTGACAGTATGCTTACTGTCAGTCCCAGCTACAAATGCATCTTTCCTGCTCATCTTTCCAAGCTGAGATCCATGTTTCCATGCCTCCTCTGACAAGCTGCTGCCACTTGAAGCCTTTCCACAAATAATTTGGGAGACTGCAGAATCCTCCCCAACATTTTCTGGGATGCTTTTGAGGGTGGAGTGGCCTCCTGGTTTCCTATAGCACTTCACAATCTTAGTTACATTTCTTTTCGTGCATTCTTCTCCAGACACACAAGAATCCTCAGAAGTCTTGGGAATCTCACTGTCCGAGAACTCGCTAACTTCTGAAGACTGGCCCGAGGTAGATGTCCCAAGGGCCACTGCTACCTCTGCAGCAGTTGCCTTCATCTGCTTCTTCTCCAACTGTTCATTATAATCCTCCCTTTTCAAGACTGGTGGAAAATAATAATCTAGATTGCCTTTTGATTTGCCTGCTTTCTTGAAATACGCCAGCAGTTCTATTCGTGATCGGAACGTTTGTCCATCAGGGCTGTGCAGCAGAGCAACTTTGCCTTCTCCTTTCTCATTCCACTTGATCTTTCTTGACCAACCACCTCCAAAGTGAGAAGTCTGATAACTGGAAGGCTTTTTGGGCTTGGACTTTGGCTTGGCTTCAGGTACTTTTATTGTTTCATGAATGGGCTCGGACTCCGACGCCATGGGAGAGGAAAATTTAGAGTCATCCGAGACATCCATCCCAGTTGGAATATCAGACTCCCCACCTACCAGATCTTTTTCTTGGTCTTCTAAATTCATACTGAATATTTTCTCCTTGGCATCTTCTGAGGATTTACTTGTACTAGACAATTGAGCAAGTACTTTTTCAGCGGTCATATTTTGTACTGCCTCAGCACCACTTTGTGCTACTTGCTCCTTTGAAAGACTTACAGATTCCTCCTCACTAAACACCTTTTTTCTTTTGTCCTTCTTACTTTTGTGTCTACGTCGTCTATCTACAGGCTCTATGCTTTTTTTCTGAATTTTTAAAACGATCTTTCCCTTTTCAGACTGATTTTCCTTTGGTACATCATCTGGTTTGATGAATACAGCTGTGTCATCTTTAACTTCCTCCAGTTTCTGCACTTCCGATTCTACAGTTTCTTCTGGGCTTGCAATAGAAGCTGAAGGACGAGTTATTTTCTCACTATCCTCACTTGTATTGTTGGATCCTGCAGATAAGGATTTGTTTGTTGGTGATAGACAACTCACTACAGCTTTTGGTTTGTTCTTCGGTCTCTTAGAAAAGGTCTTAGTAAACCCTTTACCAGAATTCCTGTTCTCAGATTCGCTTTCAGTGGTGTCAGTGAGGCTTGCATCACCCTTTTTCCTACCTAATGAGAGTGATCGACTTCTCGCAACAATCTTTGGTTTCTTGTACTTCTTCTCAGCAGCTTTTGCCTCTGCAGACAGATTCACTTCCATCTGCATTTCTGACTTCTTGTTAACTGACTTGACACTTTGTAGGGAAGAGACAGATTTACTTCTGAGATGTCCTTCCTTGTGGTTCATCACCTTAGCCTGTTTCAGCCGAGCAAATTTCATCTTCTCTTTAGCAGTACGGGATAGATTCCTCATTCTTGATTGTGGTGTTTCCGTCTCACACTCTGAGGCCTCTGGAGACTTATCATCAGAGCTGATTTCTGAACATGGCTCTGAGCTAGACAATCGTTCTGTGCTAGAGGATCCAGTGGTGTCACTTGAACTAGGTATGGAAGCATCTGAGTGACCTGTAACAACTGGGAAATACTTGTGAATATCATCTACTTTCCCAATGAGCTGGAAGTAAGCACTCAATTCTCTCCTTGATCTAAATGTTCTTCCATCAGGGCTATAGACGTAAGTGTCAAAGCGATCACCAGCTGATCTCCATTTGATCCGACGCACCCAGCCACCAGGAAGTGTTGTCATGACCACCTTCCCCCGACTGCTGTTGTTTGTTGGCGGTGACGGCCGTGACTTTGGTTCATTACTCCGCACCACAGCAGGGCTGCTATTGCCAAAGAGAACTCGAGCATCAGTGGTTATCCCTTGTTTTTTCAGGAATTCCTCAAGCTTTTGTATGCTCTTGAACTTCTCACCACTTGGGCTAATCACAATAACTTCAGAGCCAGTTTTTCGTTTCCAGCCACCAGGCAAATCCATGACAGACCCAAAGGCACCCCCTCCCCCTGGGTCAAGCGGCAAGCGCTTGGTATGTGTGGCCAATTCGGCATCTTTTTCAGACACAACCGGCAAGTTGCCACCACTCATACATCGAGCCAAGCTGGTGGGGATTTGTTCCTTCAGGATATTGGGTAAACGCTTACGCAATCTGTCATGGAGGAGGTTTGGCATAGAGCAAATGAGAAGGATTCTGCCAAGCCAACATGCATTACAGCGACCTTCAACCAGTTCTTGCACTTGACATTCAGCTTTGCTGTCTTTGCACTCATATACTTCTCTGGAACCATCACTAGAGTTGCTGATGAAGGAGTTGCACTTCTCACACACTATCACTCCAAACTTGCGAGAATTCCCACCTTCTTCACTATCACAGACTGCGCACTTTCCTTCCACACCTATAGGCACAAGAACAGAGTATCGTATGTAATAAGTATCTAAAAGTGACTTGAAAATATACCCTACTAACTAGCATAAGTGTCCTATTTTTCTTTTGAAAATATTACTACCTATTGCATTCATACACCATTTGAGATTACAACTGTGATGGCAAAATCAGAACACTGCAATATCAGTGAAATGTCAATCTATAACTAACTATAATTGTAGATATAAATGCAAACATTTGTTAATGCAAAACCAGTCAGACAATCTATCCAATTCCATGTGTAAATGTGGACACATGTAACTATTTATATATCTGTATGTTTATAAGCATTCACATTACCAAATGAATTAAATTACAAAAGAAAAATACCTTCATCTGATGCTGGTATGAGTCTCTGCAATGAAACAGGATTCCTAATCTTTTGCAAAGTAATCTTGTTAAGGTTCAGTCTTGCTTTCCTTAAAATGTTCCTTGAGATGGCTGAAGCTGACATTGAGGATGAGGCACCGAAGGCTGAAGCTGGCATACCCTCTTCCTCACCTCTTCCAACCTAAATAAGAAAATAATTTAAATAAAACTAGATTTAGTTACTTCTGTGTTCATTGTCTGACCATACAATGGATATATCAGTCATAGAACAGAGTATTTGATAATTTTTTTAAAAACATACATTAGAAAACCAAGAAACCAG